CACTGGCCATTTGAATTTCCGCAAGAACACTGACGATCTCATGTAAGATCGTCAGTGTTCTTGTGGAAATACTGTGCTGCTCCCGTTCGGGCAAAAGCCCTCTTGCGCAAATCATTTGCGCAAGAGGGCCAGTGTAAACAGCACAGTACTGTTTTCCGCAAAAAAAGCCCCGATCGCGAAAATGGCGATTGGGACTTTTTTGCAGAAAACCGTGTCTAGATTGGCCTCGGATGCTTTTCCGCAAAAAGTACTTTTGCGGAAAAGCATCCTGCCAATCTGGACGTGCTTTTCCGAAAATGCTTTTAACTGAAAACTTTTCTCTTAAAAGCATTTTCGGAAAATCATGCTAGTGTAGACGTAGCCAAGGTGCTTTGTGTTGGAGGGACCGCGTTCCCAAAGGCCACTACCTGCACCCTCCATGCACTTCTGTGGGTTCCTCATGGACCTTCCATGGAGTCAGCTGCAGGATCGATGCCTTGCATACTTAACTAACCATGCCCACGTGCAGAATACACTTAGGTCTATGTGAGTGCCAGGAAAACTTTATTTTCTGCTACATACTTGCTGAAAATGATGCCCCACGTCAGACAACCAATTGAATATGTATTTAAAAAGCGTGAGCAAAAGCACTAACACTTCCCAAGAAGAGAAATGGCCTTACGATTAAGGAGCTGGATTGAAACTTGAGCATCTTGGTTCAGCGACTGACTCTTGTGGCCAGATTCACTCATGTGCTTAAAATTAAACATGTGTTCACATGCTTGGCTGAATAAGAATGGTTAGCTAATCGGGGCCTCAGTTCCCCCATCTTTCAAATGAAATAATGGGTCCTTTCTCTGTGTATGCAGATTGTAAAATCTTCAAAGAGTAGGACTGTCTCTTGTTATGTGTGCGCATGGCAAAATGGGGCGCCAGTCTTGGTTGGGGAGTGTCTATTTGCTACGGTGATAACAAATGAAAATAATCTATAAAGATGCTCTCCAGGGCATGGTTTCCTATTTTAAGACATGTTATGTTACAGCACTCTGTGCATCTATATAATATGTTTTTATAGAATGAGAAAAGCAACTATTTTTCCCACTTAGCCACAGCTCAGAAAAAATAGCTGAAGGGATTTTGCTTAAACTTCCAAACAATCAGCCATGGACATTTTCAAAGACAAGTGTGGTAGAAAGTGAGTGAAAAGAGCAGTTAAAACAAACCGTTTAACACCTTTAATTATTGCCAGCACTACTGGGGACTGAATACATTGCTTCCTGTGCTCAGGGCTCTGTGGAAACCACATCAAGGTGGGAGAATTTGTTCTGATTCCCTGAAATTGAGGCCAAAGATAGATTTTTCTAGGTGCTTTTAGTTGTTATAGTTCCTTCTGCAGAGGATGGGTGTGTGGCATTGTTACAGGACTAGCTGTACCTCTCTCCCCTTTCTGGGCTTTCAGATTGCATCTCCTCTGCTCGGCTGGGTGAGTTTCTGCCATTCTCTGCGCTTAGATGGGGCCATTAGCTATGGTACCCCTCTTACCCAGTAGATCTGACTAAGTTTGGATACTTGTGCTTCTTCCCCTTGGGAATCTGTGACTGGTGGTGATTCCTGCTCTGACATATTTACTTTTACTTAATCTTTGATAGATAAATAGTAACAATCATATATTGTATTTATTAAATTAGCAGCTCCATGAATTCAGTGTTAAAATTAGGGATGTAAAATCCGATTTAATTCGTTAATCGCTAAATGTTAAGTTTAACCGGTTAACTGATTAAATAGAAGGGAGTGGGTTGGGGCTGCTCTAGCCTGGCTGCTTCCAACTGCCTGCCGGGCCGCTGCGCTGGACTGCAGCGGGTCGTGGGCAGGGGGTTGCTCTTGACTACTCAATTCGAGCTACGTTAAACACGTAGCTTAAGTCAAAATAGCTTATTTTGGTGTTTGGCATTGTATACACAGCAGGAACTCTGAGGGTGTGTCTACACTATAGTGTTTTGTCGACAAATGTGGACTTTTGTCAACAAAACTATACCTGCATCTACACTACCGCCGAGTTCTGTCAACAGTAAGTCAACAGAATGTGGTAGTTTTGTCAACAGTGGTAAACCTCATTCTACAAGGAATAATGCCTTTTGTCAACAGAGTTCTGCTGACAAAAGGCACTATTGCATCCACACTCTGCTTTTTCAAAATAGAGCATCTAGACTCTCTGTCAAAAAAGCGGCTTGCTTTGTCGACAGAACTGGATGTAGTCTAGACACTCTTTGTCGACAGTATCTGTCGACAAAAGCCTGTAGTCTAGACATACCCTTAGAGGAAAAGAATTTTAAAACCATGGACAGTCTGTACACGTCTATCTTACCTGAAGGCTTAACCAGGTAAGCCCTGTTTCTCCAGACACTTTCAGTATGGAGACCGTCTGTCTCCAGCTGGTATCCTCAGAACAACTACAGTCTTCTCTTGAGAGATGGAGTCCCTTTTAAAACTCCATTGTTGCGCCTTCAATCTCTTGTGTTCATGGCCCTTTTTGTGTCCTGACGTTGTCCCTTAATAACCCTCAACTGAGTGCAGACAAGCTGACAAGTGACATAAAGGGCCATTCTTTCCTTTCCTGTTTGTTTTTCCTGACAGCCCCCATATTCAATTAAATTAAACCAATCTAGTCAGACAGTAAACATCCCAATAACCAGACCAACATACAGCATTCATAAATTATTTCAGGACAGTGCCATATCCATCTCAGGTTGTTTCTTCCAATATGGGAGAATTGTGTATAATTTCCATTCCTGTTTTGCAGGTACCACTAGTTGAATTTTTTTTCTTGTGAACAATAGGCCTGATTCTCCACGTGAGGTCATTCCACCAGTGCTAGACAAGTGTGCGGTGCTACTCTGATTTAGTAGGGTCTTAGTTTCTGCTTTTCACTTCGGAAGGTGCAGAGTCGTGAAGAATCAGGCGCAGAATTTTCCATAGACTCAGTTGCCTTTCTGTCCATTTCCCAGGCCTGGTTTCCTCAAGCATAGAGTGTTGGCAAGAGACTGAATAAAGCAGCCATAATACACTGAATAAAGTAGCCTTAAATACGACTGCTCTCTATAAAAACATCAATGGGCAAACACCAGGGAGGGTGAAGAACCACTTGAGCTAGAGGACAGTATCGGCTCAAGAATAAGTGAAGTTAAACTGGCTATGAATAAATTTAGGCTGGACATTTTCTAACCATCCAAGTGAGGTTCTGGAACAGCCTCACAACAAAGCAAGGGATCTAATAAGTTTTAAGATGGCGCTCAATACGTTTATGAAGGGGATGATTAAAATTGGGTTACCTGTGCTAGCAGGGGCTTCCAGTCCGGTGCTGTATGGACAGCCAAGAATTTTCTGTCCATCTGCTGTTAGCAAGCTCTTTGCTTTGGCTGTTTGTGGCATGTGATTGGTCATTTAGTTCACATGGTATTGTTGTTACTCTCGGGATGGCTAAAAGTTTTTAAACATGCAAATGCCACGTGGTAAACAACAGTCACGCTGCTGTGATTTTTTTTGAATGAATTTTCATTTGTACTAAAACATGCAAAACTTGAGGTCGAGCAAGTGCCTTCACAAATAACCATTGGCTCCCATGTACTCACAAATGTGACTTTATGTAGTACAGCCAACTACAACTGTCAGGTTTGGGGTGGGGTAGCATTTTCCGACCCATCAACTAAGTTTGCGTGTTTCAGAAGCTCTCTTATGTGCAGATGTCAAAATCCATGAATGCTGCCTAAATTCCTACCTAATTTCCAGTGGTGGCCCGTCAATACAGGCGAACTAGGCGGTCGCCTAAGGCGCCAAGATAAACGGCCGTTGAGGACTTTGGAGGCGGGGGCGCCGATCGCGTGTTTCGCCTAGGGTGCCAGTTGTCGGCAGCTCGTCTAGGGCCGCTCCTGCTAATTGCTCTACATGAGCTGGTGCTGAAAAAATAGTAGTACCTGCCTTTACTTGCCCACTGCACACCCCGATATTTAATTTGGCTGTGGAAAAATCAGCTCATTCGATGTGGGGGATTTTTTGTGACAGGTGCACAAAATAATAATCGCTAACTAATGTGTGACTACCTGGGCCAGATCTTGCATTGTCCAGCCTACTTTGCAATCACACTTGCACATCATGGGTGTGAAATCCCACCAATCTGAACTGGTAGTGTGTTACACAGATTGCTTAGGTCGGTGCAATGACTGCACAAGATGTGAAGCCTTCCGGGTCTGGGCTGGTGAATATTCATGACCAGTCTGGACAGGACAAATCCCTTTGAGAAACTTTCAGCATAACCAGCTCTGTGGATATGTGGGATTCGAATGGTTTCTCTTTTCATATTGGTCAAAGTTCAGGATCTTTGAAATGCATCACACATCACTTTCCATATCCTGAGACCCTTTCCCTCTACATTTCAACTACCAAGGGAAACTAACTGTGTTGTAACATGTTATTTATATAACTTGTCATGGATGTTTGTGTGCCACATTTGATGATTAGAGGTGGGAACATATTTTTTTTCCTAGCATGTGTGTCTGTCTCTTTTCAGTCTCAGAATAATTTTTATCTTCGCTACAAGATCCAAAGTGTTTGAAATGCCGGTTCTGGCTGCCATGTCAGAAAATGCTAGCAGTTGTGGGGGGGTTTTATGCCAGGGGAAAAATAATATATAAATTAAATATATATCAAATATTATACATCTATATTAGAGAGGAAAGATCTGTTTATTAAGTCACCTGGGCCACCTATTTTCACAACCTCTAGCCAGACCAGGAATTGTATAATATTTGTACATATTACAAGGAATGTCGTAATAATATGGTAATTGAAGGCATGGGGCACATGTGGAGGGGAGACCTCACAGCTATTCTGCTAGGACAGATCCTGCCCTTGGTTATGCCCCATGTACATGAAATGGGGAAACTATGAGGATAACGAGGAGCAAAATTTGCAAGCTGTCCCCTTAAGGCGTTTCTGTAGCTTCACTCCTGCCTTGCATTCCGTAGGTTGCCACGACAGGGCAGTGCTGCTTTACGAGTACGTGGGGAAGAGGATAGTGGACTTGCAGCACACGGAGGTACCAGACGCCTACCGAGGAAGAGGAATAGCCAAGCACCTGGCTAAGGTATGACCTGACCAGCCACTAGAGGCGTTTTGCCTTTCTTTATAGTCTAGCATTACTTTTCACAATACTGTTTAGACCTCCCAACTGAGATCAGGGCCTTCTTGAGCTAGGCGCTTTACGTACACATGGTGAGCAGCAGTTCCTGCCCCAGAGATCTAAGGATATGTCTAGACTGCATCCCTCTATTTATTAAGTATCTGATCCACCTATTTTCACAACCTCTAGCCAGACCAGGAATTGTACAATATTTGTACATATTACAAGAAATGTCGTAATAATATGGTAATTCAAGGCATGGGGCACATGTGGAGGGGAGACCTGCAGATTAGGCAGGTCGACATTGCAAATGAAGCGGGGATTTAAATATCCCATGCTTAATTTGCATAAACTTGGCCGCCATTTTTGCAGACTCAGCACTTTGTTGGCAAAAAGAGGCGGTCTAGAGGGAGATCTGTGGAAAAAGGCTTTCTTTCTCAACAGATCCCCCTGTAGACTACCTCTTTTTGCTGACAAAGTGCTGAGTTGGCAAAAACAGTGGCCATTTTTATGCAAATTAAGCGTGGGATATTTAAGTCCCCGCTTCATTTGCAATGTCGACCTGCCTAATCTGCATCCCTCTGCTGACAGAGGGATGAAGTCTAGACATACCCTTACAGGCTAAAGATGGACAAAGGGTAGGAAAAGAAGCTGAGGCAGAGATCAGAAGTGAGTCAACAAAGGCTAGGCAATAGGTCGGTGGCAGAGTCAGGACACGAACCAGTCCAGAGCCCTAACCACTCCCCTCCTGCCTCTCTAAAATGGATAAGAGCAGCAGGATGCTACTGCAGAGTGTTAAGGACTCACTAAGGTGATGCATTTTGACACACGTGATGAAACACAACCCGTTCAGAGCAAAAACCTGGGTAAATCGTTAAATCCTTCCTCCCCTGGCTCTCTACCCTTTTTCCTAACAAATCCCCTCCCCATCTTGTATGTTTTGATGTGAAACAGAATATTTTGCCCCCCAAAAGTTGCAAAAATGGACATTCCCAAGCCTGAAATTGAATCCGTGAACATGCATTTTAATGAAATTTTTGAAAAAACAAACCACTTTTTGTTATGGTCTGTTCCAGCACAAGCTGGTGACTCCAGCCCCTTGTGCTATCCAGATCCGAGGCACTCCGGGTCACCTGAGAAAGGGGAAAGGCCATTGTGACTGAGGGTAGATTTCACAAAAGTGGCCCAGAAACACTCACTGAAAGGAGGCTGCAAAGCGCAAGCTGCAGAAGGAGCAAGGGGAGACAGCAATGCTCAGAGCCAGGGGAGACCATATGGCCAATTACGGCCTGCTCTAATAAATCCTGATGAACGGCCATATTCCTTCCGCTCTCCGTTCCCAGCAGTTTTGCCCAGCTGCCTCCGCACTTAGTGCTGCGGCTGCTGACTTTTGGCAGTTTGCTCCCTCCACCACCCCATGCTAGGAGGGAATTTCTGCTTCTGGGCCCGTGTTTTTCTGCTGTTCCTGAATGCATTGCTCTCTGAAATGGCTTCTTTGTGTTCTCCAACCCTCATCCTCTCGCTGGATCATCTTTCTCGGCAGGAAATGTTCCTCTTCCTTTTCCTGCTCCGCAGGCTGAATCGGCCTCGTCTTGCCTCATAACTCATGTGCCTTGATGCATACATCACTTTGATTGCTCTCTGCTGGGATCTTTCCATCTCGTCCCTGTTGTATGGAGACCAGAGCTGCGTTCCATGATGCAGCTGTGCCCTGGCTCATGGCTCTCCAGTGAGAGAATAACTTCCCTTGATTTATGTTCCTTCCCTTAGCGTGGACACCTCAAAACCTTCTTTGTTCTGCAGGCAGCGTTTTGGTGAGTCTGCTGCAAGGGTGGAGGCGTCTCTCTCGCACACAACCTCCTTTCTGTTTCCCCCCTTCTCTTCGCAGCTTTGCTCCAGGCTCTTCCTTCACTGAGTCTCTTTGCTTCATTATTCTGTCATGCGCGGCTAACAAGCTGCTCCATAGTGCCACAGATCCACAGCATTCTGGGTCTGTCTGCTGTTTCTTCCCATGCACCTTATTTTCTAGAATGTCAGCAGTGGAATCCTTTGTACATGTGATTTTATCGTGGAAGCAGAACCAAACACGTTACAGGCCGAGTGTGACCCTCGCATTTAGCTCTCCTTCCAGCCCCTAAGCTTGGGGGGGGGCAGTTCATTTTGCTGATTCTCCTCCTTCACAGTACCAAGAAGCAAATAAATAAATCAACCAGCCCCTGCCCCAAAGAGCTTGCAATCGAAGGTTCCTGTGGAAGATGGGATGTGTTGGAAAATGCACAGGCGTAGGGAATGAATTAATTTTTTTATTATAAGCTCCTGTCTTGTGGGCCTTCTAAGGGGTGGAATTTCTAGAGGCCAGGCCAGTGGCTCAGCTGTTCTTCCCGTTGCTGGATGTAACCATATGGCTGAGGGCATGTTCCATTCTCCTTGGCGTCCTTCTGGTGTAATCACTGACGCTCAGAGATGGCTGGCAAGTGTTTTGCCTCTTGCCTGTGTGTGTTGTGAGACGGAGGAGGGGGAATGTTGTGTGGGAAGCAAGCTGGGGAGGACTGGGAGGAGAGTTGAGGGAATCTGTGATTCTTGTGTGGTTCAAGGAGGGGGACTTGAGACCCCCCCCCCCCCCCCCCCCGTCCTTAGCAGAAGAAAATCTTGGCATCGGAGGCATTTCCCCCATTGTCCGATTTGAACCGGACTGTGATCGCTGCTGTGCAGGGAGTCTGCCCGTCTGCCCCATTCCCCCAAGGCTGCAACACCAGGGACCTTTTCCCCAACACAGATCCCAGCTGGAGTCCAACACTGATGGACTGATGCCCAAACTGAGTTTGACTTGCATGGGATCTACAAGTGGGCCTCCACGCTTCTTCCTCCATGTCACACTCACCTCCCCTGGCCTCCAGACTGTCCGTGGGCATTTGCCTGGTTGGTTCATGGCCCATGGTCTAGGCAGGGGACCTAGAGCATGTTACCTTCCCAACAGTGACCTTGGAAATCATCTTATCATTTTCTCTGACTTTTTTTCCCTCCTCCTGCCACCTAGGGGTTAATGGCATCCCTGGTACAAGCAGAGCTGTAGTCACTGGCAGAGGCCTGCCTCTCCATTAGAAATCCTCTCTCCGCACCCTCTTCTGCCTCCACCCGCTGCAGATGTTATGCTCATGATTTTACTTCCCCCTTTGGCGGCGACAAGCCGCACAATGGACATTCTCTGCCCAACTCCAGCTACTTCGGGAATGCTCTGCCCTCAAACTGAATTCCCTGGAGTTTAACTATCTCTTGTGCTGGTGTCCTTCCCTCATCCCTTGGACACCTCTCTGTTCTCCCACTTCTCCCTGCTACATCGGTTCTCCCTCCCAGCCACTGGTGACTGGTCTTTTGTCTGGGTTCCCTGCTGCAGGAGTAGCAATGGCTGGGAGAGGTCTGAGCCAGATCACCAGCACTGCTGAAGAAATCCCACTGGCCCTGCTCCAACCAGGCCTCCAGGCACTGCACTTTCCTCCAGGCAAGGCACCAGTTCTGCAGCGTCCCAGTCAGGAACATAATCCCTACCCATTCGGTGCCTGGCCTTTCCTAGCAGGCAGGGTTAAGTGGCTCCTCCGCGTAATTACGAGCTGCTCCTCCGTACTGCTGTCAGTCGAGTTGAGAAAGAGAAAGAGGAAGTAAGACTGTCCCTGCCCGCCCGCACTTGGCGTCTGAGGGCAGAAGCAAAGATAAATGGCACGTCTGCAGCAGCCGGCGCTCAAGCGCCTCATGGAAAGCTCCGTTCGGTACGTTCTCTAGGCTGGCTCCAGAATGACCCAGAATCATTGGGCCCTTCTAGATCTCCCTGATGGACACCAGCCAGCCCTGTTGTGAACCTGGGATCTTCCTGGCTACAGGCTGCTCTAACACCAGTCTTCCCTTTGGGCCGAGTCCCTCGCCGCTTCCACCTTCTCTTCCCAGCCCGACAGCCCATACCCCTCTGCCAGTGGGGAGTGTTAACTTGGGTGGTGATTGTAGGGCCTGCTCCCTGCTCGCCTTCCCTTGACCCATCTATTCCTCTGCCATGAGGCAAACCGGTGTGCGAGGTTCTGGCTGTGTGTGGTGGGAAGTTGACCTGCTGCACATCGTCCCCATTTCTGCTGTGCCGGCTCTGCACCCTGGCTGAGTACCCCCACCCTGCTGCAGTCCCCATATTCCCTGCTGGACCGCCCCTTGCTCCTCCCCTGCCTGCTGCTGAAAGACTGAGACGCTCTGCTCGTTCCTGCTCACTCGTGATTTGCTATTGTTCCTCCGAATTCCATGGCTCCTGAAGCACCTGGCTCCTTCCCTGAGTTCATAGAATCATAGAATAATAGGACTGGAAGGGACCTCGAGAGGTCATCGAGTCCAGCCCCCCGCCCTCAAGGCAGGACCACCCTCAAGGCGGGACCAAGCTCCGTCTGCGCCATCCCTGACAGATGTCTATCTAACCTGTTCTTAAATATCTCCAGAGAGGGAGATTCCACCACCTCCCTTGGCAATTTATTCCAATATTTGACCACCCTGACAGTTAGGAATTTTTTCCTAATGTCCAATCTAAACCTCCCCTGCTGCACTTTAAGCCCATTACTCCTTGTCCTGTCCTCAGTAACAAAGAGGAACAAATTTTCTCCTTCCTCCTTGTGACACCCTTTTAGATATTTGAAAACCGCTATCATGTCCCCCCTTAATCCTTCTTTTTTCCAAACTAGTTAAAGCCCTTGGCAGGGAATGAAGGCAAGGAACTGTTTTTCAGGACTGTCCTCCTCCCAGTAGGTGCTGTAAAGCAGGGGTGGGAAACCTTTTTTGGGTCAGGGGCTGCTGAGCCAGAGAAAAATCAGTCGGGGGCGGCACACAAGTGAGAAGCAAAAAACCCCTCATGGACTTGTCCCCTGACTGAGAAGGAGGAAGGTACTTCCCACGTTTCCCCTCACACATCAAAGCCTAGGAACCGCTATCATGTCCCCCCTTAATCCTTCTTTTTTCCAAACTAGTTAAAGCCCTTGGCAGGGAATGAATGCTCCAGCCCACGGTGAGGTGGCGGGGGGCTGGAGTTCCAGCGCTGGCTCCCTAATGCTGGGGCAGGGAGCCCTGAACCTCGGGGCCAGAAGCCATCCAGCCCCCGCTCCTGAGATTCCCCACCCTTGTTGTAAAGCCTTGTGGCCCAACACACTAGCCACATGTGGCACTTTGGCCGGTTGAGCGTGGCTAGTTCGCTCTAACAGTAGCCACTATAGCGCCTACTGCTTCAGAACTGGTTGGACACCACGGCTGTACGTCCTCACACACGTTGAGAACAGCCTGCCCCACCTTGACCGGGAGGTGGAGCTGGGGCCAACCGAGCAGGAGGTCTCTGTGGTTGTTGGGAGGCCTCTCAACTGGTAAAGGCAGATTGGCTGGCAGCTCCCTTATGCGTCTGCTCTAGTGTGGAGTTTCTGAGCAGCACTTCCCTGGCATGGTCAGCACCCAGGAGGTGTTTCACTGAGGCACTTGCCCCTGGCCTGCGTGCCGGAGCTGGGAGTGGGCGACAGGGGTCGGGTCATTCGATGATCGCCTCTTCTGTTCATTCCTACTGGTAACGGCCGCTAATGGAAGCCAGGATACTGCGCTAGAGGCCCACTGGGCCGAGCCAGGATGGCTGTTCTTAGCTTCCCACTCAGGATGTAAAATCCCGGTTAACCAGTTAATCGGTTACGCTTTAGGTTTGACCAGTTAACCGATGCAGCAGGATCATGCCCACCCCTGTGCTGAGGGGTGGCCCTGCACAGCAGTGGACCAGTGGCTGGCCCCCAAGAGGGAGCTGGGAATTCTGGTCCCCCACACATAGGTGGCTGGCTCCTGCTCCTAAGCCCCCCAGGGCTGAGTCAGCCCTCCACCTGCGGTGGGCCACAAGCTCCCAGGTACTGGTTAACCGGTACCCGGTAAACGTCACTCCGTTAGGGTGATGCTTATTGGGTAACCAGGTAACCAGTTACCCATTCCCATCCTGACTCCCCTCCAGGTTTTCCAAGCTCGGGGAAAGAGGAGGTGTATCCTTTGGGGATAACCCTGCTGCCCCAGCAACACTGGGCTCCTTAAGTGACCCTGCACCACCAGCAGAGAGATGCCCCTTTGGGAATGTGATGCTCCGTGGCAGAGTTGGAAGCTTTGTCTCGTTCCTGGATGCGCCAGTTTGGCTTGATTGTCCCCTCGCCAGACCGGTAAGAGGGTCCCTCTAGAATGGCAGCCATGTAATGCAGACAGGGACTTCGCTCTTGCTCTGTCAGCTGGCATGAGAGACAATTTGCTTCACATGCGCCATTTCAGGCACAGCTGGTTTCTGTGATGAGTGACTGATAACACTGTGCCCAGCCAGCAGGGTTCCTGTCCTTTCCCCTTCTCGGGTACTGGCATAAGGAAATCTATACTCAGAGTTCCTATTTCAGGCCTGCTAACGCTGCGGGGCTAGACCCATCATAGCCAGCTACTAATCCAAACGCCTACTCCTTCCATCTGAAAGTAAGAATACGCTGCCACTAGCCCAGCCGCTCATATCCGAGGGAGGAAGGAGATGAGACTGGGACTTGCAGCCAGCAACTGAGGGCTCCATTCGCTCACTGCAGCAAACACATTACTTCCTTTGACCTAATTCTGGCTTTGTCCTGATTGGCCTTGAGCAAGGCCCTTTTCTTCTATGCCTCAGTTTCCCCCTCTAACTCTAGAGCAGCGTTTCCCAAAGTGTGGTCCGTGGCCCAGTACTGGTCCTCAGAAAAATTTCTGTGCACGATTCTTGGGAGAGAGCCCACCACCGCAGCGTCTCTGCCGGGCATGCTCCCAGGCAGCGGGGCTAGATCCAGGGAGAAAGCCAGGCACCATGCGCACCAACGCAGAATGCCTGGTGCCGGACGCAGCCGGGGGAGCCGGCGCCAGCTGATAAAGTGGCCGGGATTGGGGCCAGGAGGGGGGATGGAACAACCCGCCGGACAGGTAGGGCAAGCGACAAGCCCCGGGGAAGGGTGCGGCCCGTGGTTTCACCCACAAACACAGGTGTGACTTGGGGAGAGGACACGAGGCTACTCACCCAACCTCCAGGGCCCATATGAGCCGAGTCATCCGGCAGGCTGAGGGGGGACCTTACCTTACCGGTCCCAAACGGGGGTGAAGTAGATACCTTGGGTTGGGGTCGGGAAACTGCCCAGGGCAGTCGACCGGGCCCACTCCTGTTGGCACTGGGGGCTTTGGGAGGACCAGAAAAAATGTATTTGCATATTCATTTGCTTAATGAATATGCAAATATGCAAATAAATGATACCAGTTCTCCAAAAGCTTGTGAATGGGTTTACTGGTCCCCAGTATCAAAAGGTTTGGGAACCACTGCTCGAGGGGACTCTGCTGGGGTGAATTACACACGTGCTAAGTCCGTCGCAGAGAGAAGCTGTATAGTCTTGCAAAAGGCGCTATGCTGATCGCCCGCAAAGTGGGCGTCATGCCCTTGAATCCAATAGAGTTGTAGAGGCACAAGAATGAAATCATGCCCCCTGCCCGATCCACATCTCTCCTGCAGAGGTTGCTAGAGAGGGAGGGTCAAGCTTTATTTACGTTGCAGTTTGCACACGTCTCTTACAGCTGCCAGCGCTCGGACGGGGTGATCCTGGGTCAGGTGAAGCCCTTTTTCCTTTCCTGTCTCAGAACTCATGCCCTTTCCACTCCAGCGGGGCACGTCTAATGGCGTCATCTGCGAATCTGTGTCCAAAAATAAAACGAAGGGGGAGGGAGAGGAGCAACCGCCAACTTTCTCTCCTCCTCCCCCCACATGGCCGCGACCCCGGACAGAGAGGATTAGAACACGTGGGGGGCTGTCGGCTTCTGTAGCCCCCTGGGATTTTGCTCGCCCGCTCCAGCACTGCCTCATGGTCCTTTTTGTGGCCAGAGCATCCTCTTGTCTTCAGGCTTCTGCCTGGCCCCTGGCAGAGCAGAGGCAATAGGGCAGTGGGTGGGGATTTCTCTCTGCATGTGTCTTTGATAGAGGGAGCGGACAGAGACTGCAGGGAGAGAGGAGCTTTGAACTCAGGATCTTGGACCAGTTCTGTGAAACTGTCTGTCCGGGCACAGAGCTGACAGGGAGCTTGCTGCTGCTGGAGCAGTTCCTTGCCAGGTCTGTGGAGATCCTCCTGCCAGTGGCTAAGATGGCAGCATTCAAAATGCTTTTCCTCCCATCCCAGACAGGTCCAGAGGCAGCAGATTCACCCGTTGCAAAGCCCGGGTGCTCGGCCATTCATTAGTTAACGAGCCAGGAATGCTCGGAGGCGTTTTTAAAGCATTTAGTCTTGTATTTATCATTCGGAGGACGAGCAGGGGGAAGAGCCCTCAGACAGGCACGCTCCCGCTTTTCTGCGTGGCATGCCCTCCCTCCCCGGCTGCAGAGGCAGCCAATGTGCTGTCTCTGTGCCGCCGCGTGCCCAGTAATCCCACGGCTGCCTCCCTCCCCTCTGCATCACGCAGGGGGCAGATGAGGACAAGTAGCAGCTTCCTTTGTCTGCACGAGGCCATGGACCAGGGGAAGGGATGCTGCTACCTCTGAAGGGGGAAGGGACTTTCGCAGCCTGATGAGAAGCGGCAGCAAGCGGGTTGCTAGCTCTGCCTGTTCTCGGCCCCATTCTCCGCTAAAGCCACATTCGATTTTTCTCCCCTGTGTGCAGCGGAGGGTCTCCCAGCTGCAGCACTGGCCTCAACAGCCACTTCACGCTACCGCAGGAAGCGGGGGCTTCAGTGTAACCCCTCCTCCCCCACCCTCACGAGCAGCACTTCATGTGTGGGGGAGGAGGAAGCAGCGAGAAACGCAGGCCAGCTTCCTACCAGCATGTAGCCGCCCAACCGCTCGGGCAGCAGGCTCCGCGAGAGGCTGTTTAGTCCCCGGCCGAGCGCACCCAACCCCAAGCGTGGGGGGAAATGCTATGAGTTACCAGGATCATCCCTCCTAAGGGACCGTTGCAGCTCACACAAGGGCCAGGCTGCCCCACAATGGGCAGGCCTCACGCTCCCTCTCCATCCACTGACAGGAGCAGCTGGTTTCCAATGGGCTGCTCCTCCAAAGCCCCAGCCTGGGCCGCCCCCCCGCCCAGCCTGCCGGGAAGGGCAGAGTTCAGCTTTCCTGTCCCAGGTTGCTCCCGCTGCACCTCCCTCCTGAGAGCATGCGGCCTTCTGCCTGGCCCTGGGGTTGTCACCGAAACTGCTGGGCGTGCCCAGGATTGAGTGATGGCCTTGCTAGGTGGACTTCCCTTCATGTCACCTTCCCAAAAGCCCCCAGCTCTCAGGGAGTCCTGAAGTAAGTTCCCTGTTGCTAGGCCTGCTCCTCCGCTGTGTTGTTTCGCCGGGATCCTGTCACAGCTCCCTCCAAGGGGAATGTGGTGTGGTGTTTGTAACCCATCTGCCCTCTCTTGTGGTTTTAGGCAGCCCTGGACTTTGTGGTCGAAGAGGACCTGCGAGCTCACCTGACGTGCTGGTACATTCAGAAATACGTCAAAGAGAACCCCCTGCCGCAGTACCTGGAACACTTGCAGCCTTAACGCAGGAGGCTGAGGAGCCCAGACTGCTCTGACAGCCGCCCGTCCTGTCTGACTGTCCGATGCGGCCTTCGCTTCTGCGCGGTCTCAGGAAGCCCCACGTGCTCTCAGAATCCTTATTTTTTCAAGGCGGATGTGGGGGCTGGGAGCTTCCCAAAGAGCACCTGGGTCCTGGATAGGTGCGGCAGCTGCGCCCTTCCGCCGTTGGGCTGGCTCACCGTTCTCTCGACAGCAGCCTCCCCTGTCCGCGTGCCATGGAGTGGAAGGCGATGGCTTCTGTCAGCCTCCTCCAGGAAGGTCCTCGCCCCTGCGGTCGCCGAAAGCAAGAAGCTGATGGGCAGATAGCCATTGGGATCCACCTCTCCTCTGGGGAACGGGTGGGGCTGTGGCAGGCCAGCCCAGCCTGAGCTGAAGGGGGATTGTGGGGAAGGGCAGAGTCCTCACCCCCGTGCGTCATGGCGGGGAGGGAAGAGAGGGATAACACAGCCAACAAGCCCAGTCAGGGTCGCACGTTGTGTGCGCTGGAGCTGGGAAGGAGCGAGTTCCAGTCGGTGAGCCCCCTTCGGGCAAAACGAGGAGCCTGAGCGTCATAGGGGGTCTCCCTCTGCATGCTCCAGAGACATTGGGGCCTTAATGCCACCTATATGCTACGGTCGGTCGTCAGTCTGCGTTGGGGGTAGGCAGCAGTGCGGAGCGGTGCTACAGATACTTGCTCAGACCAGACCTCCTTTCAGTAGTCCAGGGGCTGGAGGTGTGGGCAAGAGAAGGCAGGTTATAAACTCTGCGGCCATCCGGGGTAGAGCATTTTGAGTCAGTCTCTCATTCTGCTGGATCCTTCGCTCTGCCCTAAAGGGGCCATGTTTCCCTGCTGGGGGAGGCAGTAACCAACACCTGGGAGAACAGCAGAAGTGGCTTCGTTCAGCCCTCGGAACACTCCCCCGCCCCATCACCAATGGTTTCACCTCTCTGCCTCTTTCAGATAACAGGTGGAGGTGTTCAAGCCAAGCTGAGGGGAGGGAAAAGGGAATGCGGCCAGTCCCCGTGGAGAAGCAGGGGTGAGGCTGTTACAGTCAATGCCAAATGCTGCCTTCCTAGCCCAAGTTCTGCTCTTGCACAGGCTTACAGAACCCCCTGCGCTTGGAGAGGCTGTGGTGAGGTGTGGGATATCCCGGCAGGGTCAGGGATACAGGTGCTGAGCGTGAGAGCTGAGATGCTGCTGCTACCGCTAGTCAGCAAGTAGATACGCCTGGGGCTTGCATAGGGATCACTGGCCGGCCACTTCCCCCTGCCCAGCACTCTCTGCTAGCCCCTACTGCTGGGGGGGGGGGGTGACACTTTTGTCCTCCCCTTTTAGAGTGGCAGCAGGCTGACATACCAGGCAGGGAGCACAGGTTCTATGCAGCTCCCTCCCCATTTCTCACACTGATCATTTGGGCAGGGGCGGGGGGGAGGGGAGAGGGAGGGAGATTTACCCTTCAGGAACCACTGTGATCTGAGTCACCCTGGAGCAAGGTCAGGGAAGTCAGTGGCATTGCATGGGCACCAACACCCCAGTTAGCTCATCCTGGGGATCTAGAAGAAGGGCTGCAGTGAACTAGTGGGGTCGTGGTGGGGAGCTGCCAGGAGCCCCTGTTGTTTATATTAGGCTGAGCCTTGGCAACACCTGTTGACTCTAAGAAAACTTGTAGCACCACTTTGGAGTGGACTGTACGATCTTTGGTCTAGACCCTGAAGGCCTTAGTCTGCAACTCCTAGGGACCCAGGATCTGGCCCTATGCGATCTGATTGCTTATGTTGGACACTATATACGTCTTCCAGCATTCATTCGACTTGCTGTTTTCTTCAGTTACTGTATTTTTAAATTAACCCTTCTGGTGCTGGCTTGTGGAGTAGCGACACTCCAGGCACTAGAGTTTCTCTGCAGTGCTGCTATTCCCTGCCTCGCAAGTCGTGAAGTGCCATACCTTGGCAGCCAGGGAGATCTGTTTTGTCCCATGCAGAGGTAGGTAAGGCGGTGGAGGAACAGATCAAGAGTTCCTGCTAACCAGCCCCTCACTTCTGCTCCCACCTGGTTCCCTTTGCCATGCGGTTCTGGGGGAAGGACTAGCCCAGTTCACATCTTGAACCATGGCTGTGCATCCTGATGCTGCCTCGATGATTGGTGATGGTGCATCTCTGTGCTGTGGCTCAGCTTGTGATGTCCCCATCCATCAACAAGATGTCGTCTCATTATCACACAGCATCACGACACTGAGAGGCCCCAAATCCAGCCAGGGCTTGTTAACTGTCTTGCAGGACAGTCCTTTCAGGACACTAGATAGACTCCAGAGAATGGCCCTGTCAAGGCTCTTCCCCACGCCCCATATTCCTTGTAGGCATAGTAGTTCTGCCTGGATTAATTCATCTTGTTTCCCCCAGCTCCTCACTTAAAACTCACCCAAAGAGAGCAGCAAGCAGGTACATCTTTTCCATTCAGATTTCAGCACTGTATCCCATTGGTTCTCCTGGCTCCCTGCCACCACCCCCAGCTCCCTGAGTTTAACCTGTCAGTCACTGAATGCTGGCCAGCACTCCTCCTATCCATCACAGGCCCTGTAATGGCAGGAGAGGTGTCGCTGTTATCTGTGTGACAGAGCGTCTCAGGCAATCGGTAGTGTGATATGGAGCCTTTCACCGTTAGGCCATATTCAAATCCAGCCCATGTTGGTAGTGTCTGCAAGTCACCGCCAGAGCAGCGTTCGGGGGTCTAAGTGAAATGAGGTGCACGGAGAAAGGGTTCGGGTTATGTTCCTAGCGCCTACGCTAAAGCCCCCTGGAGTCAACGGGCAGACTCTTGTTGACTTCACTAGACTTCAGCTCAGCTGTAAGGACCAGATGTCCTCACTGCTGGCGGCTCAGCTGGTCTCTTTGGGGGCAGCCTCAGTAGAGCAGCCAGTGACTGCATCAGCATGAAGAGTGAAGTATCCCCCTTAGTCTCCAGGCCAAGGTTGAGGCGCACTTGCGGGTGGAGGGGTAAAGTGCAGTTAGTCTCTCTTGCCATAAATGAGGACTTCAGACACCAGGGCTGTAGACTAACCATCTGTCGCCATTTGCTCCTTCACCTCATTAAAAATGACAGGCTGAAATCTGACTGGCGTGGTGCAGGGGATAGCACGCCGAAATAATCCTGCCTTGCCACTGTCTCAGCTTCTACCCCTCTTCCCACCCACAACATTGTCTGCTGGAAAACCTCCTTGCCTCTCTCGTATCGCCAGCTTCCGAAATGAAGGGACCTTTGCCCTGTCTGACAAGGCTGATGGAAGTGCCAGAAATGCCCCTGATTCATGCTGTCCGTGGTGGCATGGTGGTGGAGAATCTGCCCTGAGCTTCTCCATGCTTGGGATGCACCGGAGCCTGACTGCTGCTTCTAGAGAGTCATGGGGCGTACTGAAAAGCAGCATGGGTACCAAGTTCAAGGCCAGGTGTTCAAGAGGCGCCCCAGGTGCTACAGAAGTGCACTGTGTTTGACACGATGCAGCAAAGGCCTCGTTAAGGCAGATCTGACTGCACCGTAACGGAAGCATGGTAGAATTGCCCCCTCCCACTCGTGATCCCAATGTCAAGGTGAATCCCCATCTCCTCCTCCTGTTGCCCGAGATGAGAAGACACTATAGTCACAGGGTTCCAGCAGAGTTTGCGTGAGAATTGCCCGCATAGCTACCATGTTGGAATAAAGGGCTGTGTTCCCCCCACCCCCATCCCTGAGAACATCATCCCACTTTTGGTATTAACATCTCTGGGGTGTCTCCTGCTGGACAGCCTGTGGAAGGATGATGGCGTCATCATTTTACACGGCGACAGTGGACTCCGTTGAGCTATTTGCGTGGGAACCTTGGGCCTCCTAGAGCAGATGGAGACTAGCCACTCCTGCCTTAAAACAAGCGCAGTACAGGGCCTTCCTGCTGCTTCGCTCTGAGGTGCTGTCGTCATTTCCGTTTCTGGTCCCATGGAGACTTTGATAGTGTTTGTGCTCACAGTTCGGCTGCTGTATCCATCCACCGCCTTTCACGTCCGGTATTATTTGACGTTTGGGAATAGCAATAGCTACTAGCCAAGGCAAGTCATGGGTGCTGTGGCATTCCTCCGAGCTACAAGGGTTCGTTATTGGCAGCTCAGTGTGACCTACAAGACCCTGGTGAGGGCAGGCTGTCCCTACACTTCTTCCATCACCCGTCCTTTCCTAGCTCACACCTCTGGGAAGGAGCACCCCCCACACAACGCCTTGTGATGCTGGATGGTGCTGATTGAAGTTGGGAGCGCTCAGACTCCTACTAGATGCTTTTGGAGCTGGAATGGGAAAGTGATTTCAGGAGCGTGTCGAGATCACAAGGCTCGTGAACTGAAAACCTAAGGAGAATATAGGTCATTGTCAAACTGACTTCCGTGTCAACCAACTTGAAGCTCCCTCTCTCTCTCGTATGGCCTCCCGTGGTGTATTTCCCTCTGTGTAGGGGTTTTTTTTTCCTGTTGAATTAAGTGGTAACTATGTGCCTTTCCTACTCAGGACTTGATACAAATGACCTTTCTGTTTTCATTTGTGTCTAACATCCTCCCTATCTGTCATACTAGTAAACATGAACATATTGCATGGAATACAATACAATAAATGGTGTGGCTTAACCAATCTGCATTGATGGAGGCTGCTCCTGCTTTGGGGGGAAAGGGACAGATATTCTCATAATTAAGGTATGTTACTGTGACATTGGCAATCTGGGTTCAATTCCTAACACTGCCCTAAAGTTCCGGCATGACTTTTGGCTGGTCACTGTTTGTGCCTCAGTTTCTCCATCTGTAAAATGGGACTGATACTAATTCTCTATCCAGCAGAGGTTTTGGAAGGTTAATTCCATAGGGGTGCTGAGAAATTATGGTAAGGAAGCACATACAAGCATATAGTTGGATTTCTGTTCAGAGAATTCTGTTCTGTTCCTTGAGATTTCTGTTCTGTTTCTTGAGAATTCTGTTCTGGATTTCTCTTCCTTCCTTGAGGCTTGGGCCTGGTGTTGGGCTGCTGACTTGAACCTAGTACAATATAGTCACAGATTCATTACACCTGCTCTTACCTTTTTCTTTCGTATCACCAGGGCTACCCAAGCCCTGTGGTATACATCCCTCCCTAAGGACAGGATCCAAGCCCAAGAACGGGGAGTCAGGAGAGGCTCTCCTGTGCATATAACTAGGGCCCTACCAAATTCACTGACCATTTTTTTTATGCATTTCCCAGTCATGGCATTTTCAACATCTGGAATTTCACAGTGTCAGATATTTAAATCTTAAATGTCACAGTGCTGTAACAAAGCACAAATATGGATTTCAAAATGGTGAATTATAAACATGGAAAGACTCCACATTTCTCAGATTGCAGGTTCCAGCCCCAAAGAGGGGTCACAAATCTATTGGAGAGGGGTCATGGTATTGCCACCTTCCTTCTGTGCTGCCTTCAGAACAAGGTGGCCAAAAAGCAGCAGCTGCTGGCCAGGTGCTCAGCTATGAAGGCAGCGCTGCTGCCAGCCACAGCACAGAAGTAAGGGTGGCAATACGGTGACACCCCCACCCTTCCCCGTACAGTAGCCTTACCATCCTCTTTTGGGTCCCCCCTTTGAGTAACACTGTATACTTTTAGTATACTTTTACCGTATAGTACACATAGGGCCAGAGGAACTCTTCTGGGGGCCTAGAGCTATTAGATTTTGAGGGGCCCACCAGGCTCTGGGGTGGGGCCAAAAATGAGGGGTTCAGTGCATGGGAGGGGGCTTTGGGTTGAGGCAGGAGGGTGGGTGTGGAAGGGAATGAGCGCTCCAACAGGGGTGCAGGCTCATGGGTGGGACTGTGGATGAAGCATGTGGGCTACAGGAGAGAGCTCCAGACTGGGGACAAGGGGTTTGGAGTGTGGGAAGGGGCTCAGGGCAGGAGATAGGGGTGAGGGTGCAGGTATGGGCAGGAGTTAGGGTGCAGATGGGGGCTCAGAGTTGAGGTGTGGGTCTAAGAAGGAGCTGGAGGGGGCTCAGGGCAGGAGGTGGGGATGGAGGTGCGGGTCTGGCACGGGTTAGGGTGGAGGAGAGGGCTCAAGGCTGGGGCACATGCGCTTACCTGGGGAAGCTCCTGTTTGGAGAGTTAACATGCTGCCCTATGCTTACCTATAGGCACTGCCCCCCGGAGCTTCCATTGGCCATGATTCCCAGCCAATGGGAGCTGTGGGGATGGAGCCTCCAGGCAGGGACAGAGTTTCCCGGTGCTCACAGCTCCAGCGGGAGTAGGAGGAAGGGCAACGCACCAAACCACCTTCCCCTCCTGGCCAAGAAGGGCTGGCCCAGAACACAGGGACTTTGGTGGCTGCAACCCAGACAAGCCTCTTTCTTAATCCAGCCCTGAGTACACAGTCGAGTGGATTTCCTGCGGGAGAGCAGACTTCACTGTCTGTGACCCCTTTTTTGTAGCCGTGCGCTTGGCAGGAGCCTACAAACAATCCATCCAGTTTCCAAGGAGTTTGGGACGGAAGCTGTGGAATGTTATTTCAAGGCCACAGTGCAGGCTGGCTGCAAGCACCCCGGCCCTGCATCTAAAAGGTATTTAGGAGCCAAACTCCCATTGAGTTCAATGGAAATGAGGCTCCTAACCACCTTTGAGGTCCTGAGCCATAATGACTGCTTCAAGCTCAGTGCTTCTGGAGTCACAGCCTGGCCCCTCGCCCCTCATGTCCAGGAGCAGAATCATAACAAGGAAAGATACCGAGCACAATCTCTCCCCTGGAAGTAGGTCCAAATCCCCACAGGGTTCCTACAAGGGGCAGGTAGATTGTGAGTCTTTTCCTTGGCCTGGGGATCTGCATTCTTGCGTTCGGCGCTTAGAATCCACAAATGATCTTTAAATAGCTTGGCGAAGAGGATTTACTCCCTGTGGTGTTCATAGATAGCAAGGAAAACAGGCAGGCTCCACCATGAAATACAAGGGCATTCCCTCCTGGGGGCTAGCACCTTCAGCAGCTCTGGGAGCACCGCTCAAGCACTTGGTCTCCACTCCAGGCCCTCTGAACAGCAGTTATTTTTGTATTCTATTGCTACACAAAGAGCTGGGTGCAAGCCACAGAATCAGAAGCCAGATTCCAAACATCGCAGGCCGGGGGGAGCAGGGCAGTGTTTGGCTGTAGGTTTTTGATTATATCCATTGTGCAGCCTCGGGTCTGGTCCCAGGCTTGGCTCTCAAGCACATCAGAGGTTTGGGTCAGTGCACCTCTTGAGCTGTGTCTTTGTTGGGTTTGGGTTAGAACACAAAATTTCTATTTACATTCCACATTCCAGAAAGACTATTTTCACTGACCCTGCCTCACACAAAGGGGAACGTTGCTGTTTGACAGCCATGAATGGACTTCGGCTGTGCTATAGGCATTTTCGAAACACATGTTGTTTGTGACGGCGTGACTAGAGTGCATGTGCACCACTGCCCTCGCCTGGAAGGAATCAGAACTTATCCTAGGTACTTATAATAAGCCCTGTGTGCAGTGGAGCGATACTTGTAAAGTGGTAGGTGATAAAAGAATTGTTACATTAGTTTTATTTACATTACATTGCTTATCAATATCATTAATGATAATCAATGTTCTTCTTCGAGATGTGTTGCTCATGTGCATTCCAATATAGGTGTGTGAATGCAGCGGACACGCACTGTCGGAAGTTTTTCCCTCAGCAGTACCCTTAGGGCTAGCAGGGAACCCCCTGGAGTGGCGCTGGTATATCGGCCCATATATACCCCTCCTGGCCCCCTCATCCACTCAGTTCCTTCTTACCACCCTGACGGTTGTTGGAACAACCCTCAGCTCTTCAACATGATCGTTATCTTCATTGTTCTTCTTCAATCTTTAGTTAATTTTCAGCTAAGTGTCTGCAACTTAAGTTAAAGACTTTTTGTCGTTTTCTGTTGATTTTGCTCCCTGCTGCGGCGCACCGTGCGCCCACAGCAGAGCATGCCCAACCCGCAAGGCTTTAAGCCCTGCAAAAAGTGCAATAGGCCTATGCCGTGCGGTGACCCACACTCATCGTGCTTGAAGTGTCTGGGAGAAGCACACCTTACAGAAGTCTGTAAAATCTGTAAGGCCTTCAAGCCCAGGACGAAATGTGAGAGGACGTCGCTCCTTAAGATCCTCCTCATAGAAGCGGCTCTCCGACCGATACCGGCACTGGACTCGGCACTGGCCTCCCGGAGTGCACCGGCCTCAGTGCGGGACGGTTCCGCGCATCGTGCGTCACCGGCACTGCAGGGACCCCAGCACCACTCTCAATCGCCAGCACCTCAGAAGAAGAGGCAGCTTAACAGGCGTCGGTCCTCACCTAGGCACGCGCCCTCCGTACGCCCTCCAGTGGGGCACATAGCGCCGAAGAGCCCGGAGCCTGAGCCTTCTAGGTCGGGAGGGCCTGCCTCCCCGCGAGGGACAGCAACCCTCTGGAGGACTTCCCAGAGCCATCCACACTGGAGGCCTTGGAGGCAGCGAGGGTTCTAATAGAATCCTCTCCCTCCCCTCCTCCTCCAACTCTGGCACCCTCTAGGTGGCACCAAAGTCATGGTGCATGAGGTCAGACATCGCCTGGCCCCGACGGCACCGCCTGCGGCACCGATACCCCTGGTACCGTCCAAAGACACGGCACTAGATTCGGTGCGGCAACATCGCCCGGCACCAACCTCCATGCGGGAACCTCACGCGGCCATGCCTCCTCCACCGCCTCAGCACCGCAGCAAGCCGAAGTCTATGCCTCAACGCACCGCAACTCCTTCAGCATCCACGTCGGCACTGCCCCGGTCCACCTCGGAGTATTGTCTGACTCCGAGGAGGAATCTGTCCGGTCCTCGAGGGCCTCCAGGTCTCACTCATGGTGCTGCTACCATTCTCAGCACCGCTCCTGGCACCGTAGTCCTCCGCTCCCGTACCAGCAACAGTGGGCTCGGCCAGTTCCAGTGCCCATGGTGGTGCAAACATGGCCTCCTCAGCCTCCAGGGCAATGGACTTTTTGGACTCCCTGGGCTTATCACCGGAGCCAGGGCACGGACACCCCCAGACTGGCGACACCTCTGGTCAGGTCCCTCATCTTGGGATATTCTGTACCTCCAGGCCAGTCGTCCCCAGGTCCGGGGGGAGCACGGCTCCGGTGAGCCAACCTCCCCTCTCTTCATTCATGGACACCTTGGGCGATCCACATTGCAAGGATGCCCATGTGGGTGAGGTCCGAAAGGGGTCATCGTCCTCCTCCCCGGATGAGGCTTTAGCCAACTCCACCCCATCCATGCCCTCCGTGGACGCTAGAGCCCATCAGGACCTTCTCCACTGCCTGGCCCAAAGTTTGGGGATTCAAGCGGAGAAGGTTTCCGACAACTCAGATCCTACTGTTAACATTCTGCATGCTGACACCTCTTCTAGAGTGGCTCTACCGGTCAACAAAACAGTGGCCAAAATCTCCAAAGTCTTGTGGCAAACCCCCGCCTCCATTCCGCCAACAGATAAGCATGTGGAAAGTAGGTACTTTGTTCCCCAAGAGGGAAACAAACACCTCTTCTCTCACCCTCCCCCAGGCTCGTTGGTGGTGCAAGCTGTTCATCAAAGGGAGAGAGAAGGGCAGCCTGCTGCCACCCCTAAGAACAGGG